TAAGTGACAACCAATACCTATCTACCAACAAGTGAATCTAAAAATCAAGTGAATAAAAAATCTGATAAACAGAATAAACTGGTGAATATAATAGAATCAGGGACATAGAAAGGGAGTGGACTGACTATTCTCAGCTGGAAGAAGGGGTCTTGGGGGTGCGGGAAGAGACTGGACAAAAATCATACACCTATGGATGAGGACAGTGAGGGAGAGGTAAGGGCAGAGGGTGGGTTGGGAACCGGGTGGAGGGGAGTTATGGGGGGAAAAAAGAGGAACAAATGTAATAATCTGAACAATAAAGATTTAATTAAAATAAAACAACAACAACAACAACAACAAAAAAACCCTCATGATAGTCCAGCCAGTGTGGCTCAGTGGTTGAGTGTCAACTCTTGAACCAAGAGGTCCCTGTTTGAGTCCCAGTAAGGGCACATGCTGGGTTGTGGGCTCAAGGCCCAGGAGGGGGCATACAGGAGGCAGCCGATCAATGTTCCTCTCTTATTGATGTTTCTATCTCTATATCCTTCTCCCTAAAATAATCAGTAAAAAAAATAAATTTTAAAAAACACTCATGAGGTAAAGTGTTGCTTCAAGTATAATAAGGTTAAGTCATAGTAAAGAATTATTCTAACAAAACTAAAAAGTAATACTGCTGGACAGTTCAAAAAGCAAATGTTGAGCATAGAAGTTGATGACCCTTGTTGGAATCTAGGCACTGAAGTATTTTTAAGCACTTTAGCATTTTTTAAAGCACCATAACTAAACTATTGACATGAGCAGAGTATAGTGAAAATAAGTAAGACAGACTATGCCCAAAGTGACTAGCAATAACTAGAGGTACCACTTAGGAAAAGTGTCTTTCTAAAATGTTTCTAAGAAATGGGCTCAAAATTACCTAATAGGATTCAGCAATGTCCTTTAATTTCTACAATAAACCTAATGTGTTAATTATTGCATCCTGCTACTTAAGAGCACCTCCTGAATAATCTCCTTTGCATCAGGGATTACCCAGCCCATAGTTACACCTCTAGCACAGACCTCCCTTCTGAATTTCACACCAGAAGTTAACTGATAAATGAATAAATACATTTCTATGTCCCATAGGACTTTGTTCAATTCGTTATGTCTAAAACAAGCAAGTTCTCTTCCCTCTCTCACGTCCCAAACTACTCTTCTTCCTATACTCCCTATCCTTGTGATGACACCACCTAAAATACCAGAGCCTAAGAGAAAAGCCTGGGAATTACATTAGATTCCTCCCTTTTCTCTCCCTCAACTTACACACGGTCAGTCACCAAATCCAGCCAGATGCATCTTTAACACTAGCCATCCTCCCTATCTCTGCTTCTGATACTGCATTCAGGCTGCATAACTGTTAGTCTGAACATCTCTCCTTGCAGCTACCTGACCTTCTATATTCCCACAAGCATAATCATGTAACTCTCTCCTTAAAACCCTTTAAGAACCTTTGCCAGTTTGGCTCAGTGGATAGGGCATTGGCCTGAGGACCAAAGGGTCCCAGGTTCAATTCTGGTCAAGGGCACATGCCCGGGTTGCTGGCTCAATCCCCAGTAGGGGGTGTGCAGGAGGCAGCCAATCAATTATTCTCTCATCATTGATGTTTCTATCTCTCTCTGGGAAATCAATAAAAATATATATCTATTTTAAAAGTTACATGTGGGCATATTTTAAAACCAATGTAGTGTTATTCTGTTTTGGGGTATTTTTTTATATATATTTTTATTGATTTCAGAGAGGAAGGGAGAGGGAGAGAGAGATAGAAACATCAATGATGAGAGAGAATCATAGATCGGCTTCCTCCTGCATACCCCACACTGGGGATCAAGCCCACAACCCAGGCATGTGCCCTGACCAGGAATCAAACCGTGACCTCCAGTTTCATAGGTCGAGACTTAACCACTAAGGCATGCCTGGGGGGGGGGGGGGGGGGGGGGCAGGGGGTTGTTTTTTTTTATTTTATTTTATAGAAAGGAATAAGGAGAGGGGGTGGGAGAGGAAGAGAGTTGGGGGGGTGGGAGAAACATCAATGTGAGAGAAAAACATCAATTGGTTGCCTATCATATGCACCCCACCAGAGATTGAACCTGAAGCCGAGGTATTGAACACACAAGCTTTTGGTGTACAGAAAGGACGCTCTAACCAACTGAGCTACTGGCCAGGACTAGTGCTATTCTGAAAGAAGCATCTTAGACACTTGTTAGGTTCTATGTATTTCTGTAGAGAGACTATTACCAGACACTCTACTTTTGCTTCATAATATACTTCTGAAAATGAAAATATGTACATAATAAATACTTGAAAAAGTATAAAATGTGATATATGTAAAAGGTAAAAAAGACAAAAAATGTTCTACATATTAAAATAAAAAATATTTATATAAAATCTGTTATCAGCCCTAACTGGTTTGGCTCAGTGGATAGAGCATCGGCTTGTGGACTGAAAGGTCGCAGGTTCGATTCTGGTCAAGGGCATGTATCTTGGTTTCGGGCACATCCCCAGTAGGGGGTGTGCAGGAGGCAGCTGTTCGATGTTTCTCTCTTATCGATGTTTCTAACTCTCTATCCCTCTCCCTTCCTCTCTATAAAAAAATCAATAAAATATATTTAAAAAATAAATAAAATAAAATAAAATCTGTAATCATTTCTTGCCTTTTGTATATAGTCTTTACCAATATATTCCCCAAAATTCATACATGTTCTTTGTTTCTTTCCTTCATATTTGAACCTGAAGCCAATTAGGTTAAGTGTAACTGAGGCTGAAGACTAATACCTGATGATTTCCATCTTTGTCTCAAGTGTATTAAACTTATGAGACCTGTACTTCTTATCACTAGTATCAGTATATTTTTCCCCCACTCATCTTTATAAAATGGAGCTAAAGAACAATAAATATTCAAATAATTAAAAAACATAGTTCGAAAGCTCGATCAGCGTGGCTCAGTAGTTGAGTGTTGACCTGTGAACCAGGAGGTCATGGTTCGACTCCTGGTCAGGGCAAATGCTCAAGCTGCAGGCTCCATCCCCAGCAAGGGGTGTGCAGGAGGCAGCTGATCAATGATTCTCTCTAATCATTGATGTTTCTATCTCTCTCTCCCTCTCCCTTCCTCTGTGAAAAAAAATAAAGAAAGGACATTAAAAAACAAACATAGTTCGAGAAATCAACTGAGCATCAATTGTCAAGCATTTCAAAATGCAGTCCTTCAAATGTTTATTCACAAGCTCATATACTAAAATTCAGTATAAACAGTGGATTGGAGTCAATATACGTTATACAAAGATGCCTATCTGAT